TGAGGCCAATCACCGTGGTGTCATCTGCAAACTTAATGATGGTGTGCCACAGACACAAACATGATTAGTCCACATGGTGCAACAGCAACCAAATATTTGACTGTGTTGTATGAATAATAATGGCTGTATGATTCCCCTCTTGAGCCCAGATTTCTGGGTTCCTGTAAAAGGGTCTCACTGCAGTCTATAATGCATGTAGTATTTGGAAAGTTCTTCTTGAAGGCTTCAGGCATAGTTGCTTGAATAGTTTCTTTTGGCAGCCATGGAATTAATGGTCGGAGAACTTCCTCCAGCTTGTCTAACCAGTGTGAGATGATCTTGCTGGCCATGCTTTGTGATATATGAAACTGGCGGCTTAGGTCACCTATTACACGGTTACTTTTTAATTTCATAAGTGTCATGAGGACTTGATCTCGGACAGGCATGGTAAATTCATTGTTGTCATATCCTTCCAGTGTCGACACAAGTGTGTTAAATGTTTCTAAGGCCATCCCAGTGTACAGCAAAGCGTCTGCATCATTTTGAAGAATGAAATATGCAACTTCATCACACTGAGTCATCTTATCCTGCACATCTTTTCTGCGAGACCTATTGCAGTATTGATGGTCTTGTTGCGAAGGATCCTCCCACTGTGTGTGGACTGAGTGCAGATGTGGCTCAGGGGGTTGTGTGGAGATGCTGGCCTGGTCTAATTCCACTGAACGTAACACTGTGGAGTCTGAATAAGACAAAAATATGATCAGATGTACAGTCAAACTGTTAGCATAAGAGAAACTGTAAAGTGTCACTTAGCTTATTATATTTTTGAGTGAAATTTCTCATTCTACATTTTTTCACACAAATGCAAAATCATAAATGTCAACATAAAATGTTCCTAAGTCCCCTAAAAATTTGTCACAATTTTATTCAATTACTGTGATTAGATTTTATTTTACATTCTAAAAAAAGTCACAACTGTTGGTATTTTTGCAAAGGTTGCCTTTAACGTTTTTACTTGAGTTTTCTCGACTTGAAAAAACATGTTCTTTATAAACACAAACCTAAGACTTTTACAGCCCTTGGAGCTAATCTTTTGGCATTATTATTATTATTATTATTATTATTATTATTATTATTATTATAATAAACTTTCGTTAAAATTGAGACTTTGCTGCTAATAACCAGCTAGTGCTGATACTAACGCCATTCACCATAGGCTATTATTTAGTAAAAGTAAAGAATTGCGTGTTTAAAATGCGAAACGGTGGCAAACCACATTTACACTTTCACTTACCGGGTACAGATTCTGTGTTTTTGTTCGTATTACTGGAAGCTGTCACACTCAAAGTGGTCCGAGTGAGCTTTCTTCTTTTCTTCGGTGGGGGTCGGTCATAGCCCAGACAAAGCTCCGGGTCGGGGTGTAGCTCTGTGGGCTTTTTATCGATAAAATGAAAGGAGCAAACATAAACTCTCTTTGGAGGGTGTTTGAGTCTTAAAGCTGCCAGCCACGCTAGTTTCCGATCCTCCTTCCGCGGCATAGAGTGCAGTGCGTAGGGCGGTGGGCACGGACAGGCCTTTCTAAGTTGTTGATGCTCAAGGCAAAATGTTTCTAATGCGTTTTTCAGTTTTCTTGAATTATTGTGGCAGCTGACGACAGCACACGTTGAACCCGAGCTCATCTTCGAACAGGTAAAGCCACTTATTACCGCACAAAGTAACTGATTTTGTTGTTAGCAACGACTGAACGCTGGGTCTCGCTTTGAGTAACCGGAAGTATAAAACCGGACAACGGAAGTAGTGGTCTGTCATGGCAGCCTACGTACGCTCTTACAGAAACCTGTGGATAGGGACCTCCAGTCTTAAAGTCATTCCTTTCAATGGCTCTGGGGACCTCAGAAGGAAAGCAGTGTTGTGGAAACGACGCACCCCTCAAAGCTTTCTTCTTCATGAATGAGAGATGCATGTTTTGAAATAACACAGAGCAGGCGCGTGTAGTACAAGTACAGCGGGTGGAACAAAGTGAAGTACAAGCAGAGCTCAACAGCCAGCTTAGTGCAAATTTCGGGCCATTTGCACTAGCTAGCAGTCAGCACAGCACATGTCGCCTCCTATGTGAAGGACTTGTTTAGACTGTAGTCAGACTTACCATGTGCTCAGCACATATGACGCCCAAAGTCTAATTTGTTTTGATTAGTGTAATCATTGTATGCTGTGCCTGGTAACAGCTGAGGAACCCTGTCCTGCTTTAAGAGGTGGGACCACTTTCAGTTCAAACTGGCACATCATGCATGTAGTATGATTGCTATCAATGCCCGAGCACTGCAATCCTGCTTAAAAGTAGCTGCTTTTGTAACGTATTAGTGCCACAAAAAGCATAAAGTCATGGACCTTGCCCATATGGAAAAGATATATATAAATCTTATAAAGTTTGTATCTGTCTTGTGTGAAACTTGTATGAAAAGCATACAAGAGCGAAAACAGATATAAGATCCCTTGAAAAATTCTATAAAGGAAACTTGTATGTTTTGGATACTTACTAAAACAATATATGAAAGTAATGAGAAAGTGGCCACTTTCATGAGTAAATCATATAAGCCTTATATGATTCACTATATGAAGTAGGCCACATCTTATGCAAGTCTTTTATACGTTTTTACTATTTCTTTTCCATATGGGTGTTCTGTTGAAAGGCTTCAAAAGAGCATGTGTACGAGGAAGGAACCAAGCGTGAGAGAGAGGCCAAGATGCTGAGGCAAACAGATGTGTACTCAAGCCCGATCGTTGAGCACATTGTGAGTGCAGGATATTGTGGAAGAGCTGGACATCAAAGATCATCAATTCAGAATCTGATCAAAAGTTAAGTATACAGGATTTTACCCAAATGTTACCCTGTTTACATGGTTATTCATTCAGCGGGTTCACCATTGCAATCTTTAGATATTTGTTGGGTTAACTCTCATTATTGCAGATTATTAAAAACAGAAATGCAGAAAAATATGGCTCTTACCTCAAGAATCGCTGAAGATGCCAACTGGAGTGAAACACATACTGTTAAATCGACAACCTGATTCAGAATTCTTACCTCTTGCACATTTCATATCCTGCAGGTTTTTCAGGTTGCTACAGAAAGGCAAAATTGGTGTTGTAGTGCAACCTCGCTCTCTCTGGGCTATTTCATTATAGCGGTAACAGTTTTGTGCTGTGTGCTGCATGTCAAAACCTCAGTTGACTCTCCCAACTGAGTCCAACACTGGCTTTAGTTTCTAATTTACAGTCTTGACCATTTGGAAGTTGTACACTAAGTATACTTTACTAGTTTGTCAAATCCTATTCTCGTCTGGCGACTTACTGAACTCTAAATTCTCACAAGTGCCTCTGATCAATAGAGCCCAGGGCTGTTCATTTTGGCCTCACAGCTGTGGACGTGTTACTGACTAAATTTGGGAGGTTTTTGTTTTCCAGGTGGAAATTTCAGAAAATAGCCGAGGGCTTAAGGGATTAAGGCAAAGGCCTTAACAATCGACAAAAAACACCTTTATAACCCTGCCTCTGCCAGCTTGAGCCCACACATCAACAGAACCATTACAACCTCAGACTTTGCCACCTAACAGCTCACGCACACACAGAAAGAAAACATGGATACCTGTGTAGATTTAAATCCTGCATGTTTTTTCTATTCAAAACACAAGCTGTCAAATAACAAAAGCAAGAAACGATTTGATTATTATGGCTGAAACTAATTATGGTTATGTAAGTCCAGAAAACTTGAAGAATAATGCCAAGTAAGCTGAGATGTGTAGTTCTTATGTTACAATACCTCTAAAACAAGACCAGTATCATGGTTGTACTGCATATTGCTTCCACTGCACCACTGTGCTGAAAATCACCCCAGATGGGACTCGAACCCACAATCCCTGGCTTAGGAGGCCAGTGCCTTATCCATTAGGCCACTGAGGCTGCACAGAGGGACCCCAAACATGCTGCTTCAGCAGAATGGAGAACATGTCTATTCGGCTCCTGAGCTTTGCTCTGAGCTCCACTTTGTTTGGATGTTGTTTCTGTTGTTTGTGGAGACTCATGAAACCACACAAGGACCAAAGAGTAACTAAGATCTGGATCACTGGCTCTAGTTACATTAAGTCTTTAAAGAGTATTGCTGAATTTCTGTTATGAAGACTTAAGACAGCTCTGAAGGTAAAAGGAGTCCCAACCCTTTACTAGCAAGGTGTACCTAATAAAATGTTTAGTGAGTGTAGATTCAGTCTGAAAGGTAACAAACGTAACCAATGCATTTTCATAGTATACACCCAGTTTTTTCATTTTACACAATTCTTGTATAAATCTTAAAAAATACAGCCACAAACCTTTCTAAATATGACCACCCACACATACACATGAGAGCACAACTACACAACTAACTGTGTGATGCTACCGTGTCAATATGGATCAAAAGCTCAGAGGAATGTTTTGAGCACCTTGTTGAATCTATTGTTCTGAAGGCAAATAGGGGGTCCAACCCAGTACTAGCAAGTTATACCTAATAAAGTGGCTGGTAAGGTTATATACAAAGTCTTAAATCTATTGTCAGTCACGCACACAACTGTTTAAGACTGGAAAAAAAGCTGTGATATTAATCGAGTGATGTAGAAAGGGTTTGATTTTGTGCAGTGTGAAGCTAAACCGACCTAATACTTGTAAAAACAGTTTGTGCCTCAACGAGAAAGCACTAGCGGCGATTTCATTCTGGTAGGATACAGATTCGCCAGTTTAAGTAAACTAAGTAAACCTTTTTTTTTGTTAGATCTTTTTGAGATCTTCTGTGATGAACAACACTTTCATTTTCTGTTCATATCGCTGCACGCTGCTGCGGGATGCCGACTTTAGTGTTATTGAAGGATTATTATGACAAACCCACTTTGAATAAATCTGTGTGATGCTTAGTATAAAAGGCACAAATGTGTCCAGAACAATCTATATCGCATCCACTGCTGTGAGAGGTGAAACTGTTCAATTACCGAAGCAGGAAAACCTCAGACACGCTCAGCAGTGGGTAGAGCTTCCTTTGCACACCACTGGGCCATCGACTCCTCTCTGAGTTTGGTTCAACATCTCGGAGCTAATTCACCGTACGCTCAGAGTGTGAGTGTGCTTCAGCAGACACAGTTCACTGCAACAGTCTGCTGATCAAACTCCCTTCAGTGGGAAGTAAGGTAGGCGAGCAAATCAAAGTATGCGTGTCGGTGTTTGTGTGCTGAGGATACACTGAAGAGAGTTAAAGGGACAGATGCAAAGACACACATCGACAAACCGAACCTGCTGAAAGCCAAGGCGATGGCTTTCCACACAAAGGCTTTCACTGGGTCACGCTGAGACTGAACACGAATTCAAGGCTATAATTTCCAGCCTCTCAGATCGACCTCGGACATAATAAGGCAAGGACACGTTTTATGCCACGAAATAAAAACCCAAGACATTATTACCAGGAGTATTATCCAGTCACTTTAAGCAAACAGACACCAAAAACAGACAAAAAAAAAATGCAAAGACAAAGGCCAAGACTGAAAAAACAATAAGGAGGGATTATTTCCGAGTAAATTAAGTATCTGTAAAAACTTAAATGTTTTTGTACAGTTACTTTTTCCTGTTGTGTGCAAGTTTTTTGTAGAGCAGGCGCTTAGTGATTTAATCAGTAAACCAAATCAATCCAAGTCGTGTCAACTGATTTGACATTTGAGTCTTTCTTCAAGCTAAAAATGCCCAAAATGTTCTCAAATTGATCATTTTCGGCTCATCCTTCTCTTGCATGGTAGTAAATGTTTTGAGACTTATCGTTTCCTGGTGTTTTAAAGACAAAAGAATCTGTTCTTATGCAGAAAACTCTAAGCTGCATTCTTTTTGCATGTTTATTTCTCTTGCAAAACAGACTTCAAACTCACAGAGAATAAATAAAAATCAACTTTTAGACCCAAAATAAAATCAAGATTATTGTTTGGTGGGGAAAAGAATGCAGAGCGTCCATGAAACACATCCAGAAACAAATACAAAATTACTTAAATGAGATAAAGGAGCAACAACAAATTACTCCAAAGATAGTAAACAACAGATAACAGATAAGACAACAAAGATAACATCTCCGCGAGCCAATGACACAAAATAAGGTGCAACACAGAAATACAAAATGAGAAACAGTTTTACCACAAATATGTGCAAAACTACCACAAGTAGGTCAGAGATTAGTAAAATGGGGCATAAACAAGTGCAAATACAAAATTTGGTACACGAATGTAAACAACGATGACCACAGATATGCAAAATTACCACAAAGAGGCTCGGGATATCAGATTCAGATGTTTTAGGAGAGACGAGATGCTATAGGTGGCTTTTACTTTGAAAAGACTTCAGTTCTACAGCATTATGGCCCACCCTACACCGCGCCTGATTGGGCCTTGTTTAGGCCGATGACTCATGAGAAATGATAACTGGTTGGTTTAGACAGGAGGAGTGAATCAGAGGCACAGCAGGACAGGAGCCATCGAGTAAGTAACTTCCTCCCTTGTGCTGTTTGTATTTTAAATGAAGCCATAATTCTCTACTTTTGTTATTTCATCTTACATGTTTCTACAGACATAGTCACTCTTGCAAAAGAGCAAAGTGTAACGGCAAAAACGTTATCTGTACCACACTAATTTCTAAACCCTGGTTACATCCATGTGCAAAACAGACTGACTGAAGGAGGCACAAAGCTCCTCAAAGATCCAAAACAACCAAAAAACTAGCAACAAATGTGCACAATTTGATTCCAAGTGACACACAAAACACTGAAAATGAGCAAAAGAAAGACAAAAAAACCCTAAAACAGGAGCTACAATGACAATCAAACACAAAGAGACAACAAATTAGACACAAGGCTTCATAAATGCCAAGCTACCACAAACACGTGACAGTAATGAGAATAAAGATGAACAAAAAGCAAAATAAAATGACCCGATGAAGACACTAAATGAGACAAACAACATTTAAACTAGAAAACACCACGATCTACCACAATGATGAAAAACAAGCAAATGGAGACAGGATTTAGACACAACTAGCACACAGAGAGTCAAAATGTGACACATTTACTAAGTAAATTAAGAAATAATAAGTTGAGCAGGAAGAAATACAAAAATGCAAAAACGAGACACAAAGGATTTAAAATAAACAGTAAGAGCACAGGCAGAAACTCCCACAAAAAGATGAGAAACAAAAATCAAAAGAGATGACAATGAAGAGATAAAGAACAAGACACACAACATTTAAACTGCCAGATCTACCACAACACGACTGAAAATAATGAAAAAAATAGATGCAAAAACTGAGACACAAAACCACCAAAATGAGACAAAAAGGGAATCAAACACAAGAAGTAAGAAAGAAGATGAACAGGAAGACATT